TTTATATTTATGTTCCATTTTTATGTGTCTGATTGTACAATCAAATGACATCTGTGACATCTTTATATTTAAAACATGGCAGTATTTGTTCTGAATTTTGTGTCTATTTTCTGTCAGGTCCGTATTACTGCAGTGTTGGTGCTGACCGAGCTTTTGGCAGAGACGTTGTGGAGTGTCATTATAAAGCCTGTCTGTATGCTGGCATCAAAATCAGTGGCACTAACGCAGAGGTCATGCCCTCTCAGGTAACAACTGTTACATTGTAGATATTAGACATCATGTTCTGGATAGCCAGTCTGGACAGTTTGCTCTGTTTGCAGTGGGAGTTCCAGGTGGGTCCATGTGAAGGAATTGAGATGGGCGATCATCTGTGGATGGCACGTTTCCTGCTCCACAGGGTGTGTGAAGACTTTGGAGTGGTGGCCACCCTGGATCCAAAACCCATGACAGGAGACTGGAACGGAACCGGTTGCCACATTAATGTCAGCACAGTGCAAATGAGAGAACAAGGAGGAATTGAGTATGTCCTGAGTTATGCACACACTCATAAGTCATAGAAAGACTAAAACAAACAGAGAGTGTTAAAGCCCATTCACACTAAGAATGATAACTATATTAGCATCCACACCAACCCATTATAACTTTCTGTTTATTATAAGCACATGCTGCAGTTTTATCGTCTGTCGCTTTTAATGCTCAAGCTCTTTAAAGCAGGATGGATTCTGATTGGCTCTCAATGATTTTATCATCCATCAGATGATATTGTTCCTCTCTGTCGTTATCATTACAGTTGTGGTCTGAACTTCCATTACTGTTATAGTCATCCTTGGTGTGAACAGTGTTTGGTCATGTTATCTGACCTCCATGATTCTTTTCTCTGCATCAGGCACATTGAGAAAGCCATCGAGAAACTGAGCAAGCGTCACGCAGAGCATATTCGTGTCTACGACCCACACGGTGGAGAAGATAACAAACGTCGCCTCACGGGTCGCCACGAGACCTCCAGCATCCACGATTTCTCAGCAGGTGTTGCTAACCGTGGGGCCAGCATCCGTATCCCTCGTCAGGTGGGTCAGGATAAATGCGGTTACTTTGAGGACCGTCGTCCTGCCGCCAATTGTGACCCATATGCCGTGACCTGCGTAATGGCCATCACATGCATGCTGGAAGAGGGGGAAGATGCCCATGAACTTAAATAGCACACTTTTGGAAACTAATAATTGTTTAGAATATTAGATAGAGGGCACTTTAACCTGTTACAATTGTTAATTTGGTCTGTAAATCATACTCTATACATATTAAACTCTTCTTCTGAAAGGAATGTTTAATGACACATGATTTGCAGGCAAGTTTGATGTGTTGTATTGAATGATCTTACACCAACCTGTTTCTGTGCACGATAGATCACATTAGAACCTGACTGGGGTTAACAGCTGACTCTCTACCTGTCTTTCTACCGTCACACAAACACAAGTTATAGGTTGTCAGGTGTTCTCCAGCATCTATGATTTCTCAGCAGGTGTTGCTAACCGTGGGGCCGGCATTCGTATCCCCTATCGGGTGGCTGAAAACAAATGTGGTTACTTTGAGGGCCGCCGGCCTGCCGCCAACTGTGGTGACCTGCACAATGGCCTGCACATGCATGCTGGAAGAGGAAGAATTGAAATAATGCAATACTGGAAACAAATAGTGGTTGTTTAGAATAATATTAGAATGAATACTCATTTATCATATTTATTTAAATGTAAGAAAATCAGTAAAATAACCATCGATTAAAATCAATATACAGTAATGTGAATTGAATTCGATCACTGTTGACCGTCCGGAATTAAGCTATTTTCTTTTAACGTGCGAGACTTCTGATTCATTAGAAGAATAACAAAGTGTAGTCAAAAATGCCAAACCTATTTACACTATAAACCAATGTGTATGATTTTAATATGACAACAAATAGCTAGGCTACTATTTGTAACATCAAGCAGCATGACAGTTTTTTTTACATGTAAAATGAAGTAACTGGAAGCTCATGACACCGGAAGTCTCGCACATTCAAATTCTTGAAAATCAGAGTGGATAATAAAACATTATCTGGAATCACTGTTGCCAACTCTCGCAAGACAAATAAGCAGTTTGATGATTTATTATCATCAATATTATTTATTATCAATTATTTATTACCAGTAAATGAGCCTGCAACATATTCAACTGAAACCACTCTTTTATCTGAAAAGCAAAAACAGAAAATCAGCAAACTGCAACAAAAATGGGAACAAAATTCATCTCCAATCACCTGTGTGCAGAATATGATTGGAGAGATGGAAAAGGAGAAAAACAAGAGCTTCAAAGGGGAGCTGTAACATAGCCACATATTTATAGCCTACTGAAATATAGGCTATTCGAACCATATTTACTCTTAGTATTAGTGTAGGACTACTTGTTTTTTATTACAGCCCGTGATAATTAATACATTACAAAAACATTGTAAAATTAAAAAAATAGGCTAAAAGAAAGTCATCGCTTGGATTACAGCGTCACGCGCCTTCTTTTTGAACATGATTTTCTCCAATGAGGGGGCGGAACATTTGGCAAATTACGCTGCAGCACTTATATTATTGCACTGGTTGGCTATTAACTGCAAGCAGACAGAGTGTCATTGAATGCACTGGAGAATACGGCGAACATAAATAAAGAAACGAAGTTGCTTGTCAGATTTCCCTAACAAGCAACCGTATTTTTTAAAATAAGCCCAAAAAACCGCAACCCGCGATTTTTTCACGCAACTTCACAAAAAAAGAAGCTCAAAGTCGCGTATAATACGCGGACTTGGCAACTATGTCTGGACTCTGTGTAATATGTACACGTGTCAACTAATTGGTATTGCTGTTCTTTTGGATGTCCATAAGGGGGCGTAATAGGCAAGTGTTTAGAACTCAGGTAACGCTTTGAAGAAGCCTAGTGGAAACGTGTTATTGATTGGCACTCACTAATGTTTGTAATAACGTATCTGTTACAAAGGTTTGTTTTCATACCTAAATTGTATTAATCATTATTTTTAGTCTTGTGTTCCAGTGAAATGTCTATAATCCATAAAACAAAATGTAAGGATCTGACAGTAGGCCTATATATTAGATTAATAGTACTGACTTTCTACTTCTTTCACACAAGTGTATAATAACAAAAAACAATTTGACATAATTCTTATAAATCTTGAGTGATGTTAATACTTTTTTTTTTTTTTTCTGTTACACCCTAATTTAATCTGGGCTACACAAAGAAGACCTCTCAGAAAAAAATGCTGATGTCAAAAGGCACAGGAGATGGCTTTAAAGTAGCTTCTATTTTCAGCCGATGACTGATGTGTGGAGCGCAGGAGTGTGTTCAGTCCCCATAATGAGGGGAATTTATTATTCCCAGAACAATGGCAGAAGGGATGTTTATTCAGTTTTATCCATGCTCTTGTCGCCAGACAGGTGGAGGTATGGATTTTTTGCTGATTTTCCTGGTTGGTTATGGAGAAAGCTCAGTGTGGTGCTGCTTGCACATTTACATCACAGCAGTATGTGGGTCAATGACGTGACACTCATTTTTTTATTTTAGTTATTCAAACATACACAAACTCAGTGTTGTTCATACAGAATATTTCTTGAATACACCTCATCTATAATTTTCTAATTCTAATTAATTTTGATATTTTTAGGTGCTTCAACAGTCAAAAATATGCATATAACAAGAAAGTCATTTAAAATATATATCTAGTTTGGCATAGACATAATTTTATTATTATTTATGATATTATAGCCTAAATTATTATAAAATACTGCTTTTTTGAATCAGTTTTGTATGTGTACATATGTATTGTATATAAATATAATTTATATACATATATATATTTCAATTTGATGCTAAATCAATAGCCTACTAGTAAATCAAAATTATATAAAACGTTTTAGAATAAATCAAATATATTTAAATAAGTTTACTGTGTGGAGACGTGCTGATATCGCGTTTGGTCTCGTTCTGTATCGCGTGTCTTGTCAGTGTCTGCGCTTGCTTGGCCATTTGTTGTGGAGAAAATAAGGAAAGTGTGTCCAGCTGAATTAATTTAGTATTTTGGTAGAGGGGTATAAAAAAAGCTTAGTTTACATCGACTCTACCGTGCGACTCCACCGGGCAGGGACACCGGCAAAGGATAAGTATCGCTTTTTATTTCTCCTCTTTCCTATTACTTGTTTCGCTTCTGTTTCAGTTTTTATAACCATTTCTTACTATGTGTAAGTAAGCTGTTGTTTTTTAGCATGTGTGTTTGGCAGTGTTATTTTTTAGGATTACTGATAAACTACTGTCGTTTGATTTGTATTATTTGTTATTTATTTTAATTTTAGTTAAATTATGTCTGAATTTATTATGTCTGTGTAGGTCTTTTATTCAGTTTTTAGTTTTATTTAATTTGAGTTATTTTAATACTTCAACAAACTAAATGGAAATGAAATAATATATATAGTGAATTTATAAATGTGTGTGTATGTGTGTGTGTGTGTGTGTGTATATATATATATATATATGTGTGTGTGTGGTTGTACATACACATATGTAGTTGTTTATTTTTGGTGTTTGGCTTATCATTATTATATTCTTATACCTTTTGTTCTTTAATATTTTAAATTGTTTTGAGCTTTAATTTTTGTTTTTCATTTCAATGTTAAGTTTTGAAATTTCGTTGTATGCATTTGTCATTTTTATTTAATCTCTTTATTTAAAAAAATGTGTATAGGTAGTATTTATAAAGTTTTAGCTTTTAGTTTTGCATCTGTTTTTAGTTGTTTTGATACTACAATTGATTGCTTCTGTTGTCCTCATTTGTAAGTCGCTTTGGATAAAAGCATCTGCTAAATGACTAAATATATATATATATATATAAGTTTGTAAGTTTATTAGCATTCAAATGAAATATTAAATAAAACAGGGGAGCAGGGGAGTCTGACTATCCCGATGACGTCCGCGCTCGTGGATGGGCGGAGAGATGAGAGCCGCAGGTGGGACGTGAAACTGGCCGCTTTTAGCCGTTAGTTTGACCGTCGATCTCATTTTGCTTGAGTGCTTGACTGGTGCTTCTGAACGACATGGGGAAGCTTCAGGAATTCGAGATTACTTTCACTAATAACAAAGTGGTCTACAACCCCGGGGAGTCCTTATCAGGAACTGTGAGAATTAAAACAAGCCACTCCTTACAGTTTAAAGGTAAGCGACGCCGTGTATCTTACATATGCTTACAATAGGAAAAAATGATTTGCATGGACCGCACAGCTGGTAAGCTTCGGGGTCTCCCGTTCAAGTAAACTTAGGGTGTTCAAATAATGCATGTCAACATGGACGTGTTGCATGTTTGCATGTTGACATTCAGCATCCGTTGCTGCTCCGTTTCATACAGTACAGTACTGGTTCGTATATATGTATTATTTACGTGAAATAGGAGCTGTGATAGGAAGGCATTAACGTCTAAGCTCTTGCCTTCATGAACGTCAATGTACATCCTGTTTCTCGTGTACTGCTGGTTTCGGTTCGATTGCACAATCAACACCCGAGCCGCTTCTGGACTGTTGAAACACACTGTATATCGTGTGCGTTTTAACAAGTGCGTTTTGATGTCTGCCAGCACTTGATTTCCATCTTTAAACGTCCACAAATGAGTGTACCTTCAGAACTGACAGTCGAAAGCGTTCATTCAGGACGCGTTCTTGCGTTCAAAAGCTGCTGAACGCAACGCGTATTAAAACGCGACGCTCGTGTGGTGACCAGCTAAACGCAAGTGTACTCTAACCAAAAACGAAAGAACGCTTGAACGACCGCTAATGATCGCAAACGTGTTTTTCCAAGAAGTTAACTGCATTATGTCAGTGGTTTGGTCATATGAACGTCACGCATATAAAAAGATGCTGACATTAGTGAAGTCGTCATAAATGTGCGATGCATTCAAAGGCGTTCAGCGACTCGAGTTACATTTCTGTAGTAGGTCAGTGCCTTGTGGCACCCCTAAACACTTCGTTTACAGTCAGATATCCCTTCAATTAAATGTTTTGTGATATGTAAATCTATAATAACAACAACAACAACAACAACAGTATGCTAAATAATAATAGTATTTATGTTTAGATATTCTCAAGCGGCCCACACAACTAATGTTCTACTGTTTGCAAGCATTCACTCTGACTGCTTTATATAACCTAACTTTTGTTGTTACCTAAATGAAAATGGGGTTTAAGCGTTATGTAATAATGTAGAAATGTATAAAATCCACACATAAATCTATACATACCTCGCCCCCTCCCAAAACCTTTGTTTTTACTTGCACTCTAAAAATGCTGGGTTAAATACAACCCAGTGCTGGGTAAAATAGGGACAAAGCCAGCAATTGGGTTGTTTTGACCCAGCGGTTGAGTTAAATGTTTAACCCAGCCTTCTGGGTAGTAACCCAATCGCTGGGTCAAAACAGCCCAATTGCTGGCTTTGTCCCTATTTTACCCAGCACTGGGTTGTATTTAACCCAGCATTTTTTAGAGTGTAGGGGCCGTACCCAGTAAGACCCAGTTCCAACAACTCCCTTAAGTTAATAAAACATCTAAAAGAAAAGTTATAATTGTGAGAAAATCAACACCTCCGGCAAACCCACTCCCCACTAGCCACAATTTTGCATATTGCTGGTCATTGGGGAAAGAGATAAGAAAGTAGGTTAGACAAGGTGCTTTTCACACTGTGTGAATGTGTACAAAGAATACATTGTAAGTGTTTTCACTGAACTGTTGGGTTTTAGTGTGTAGGCGAGACTCACGGACTGACACGCAAGAGAAAGAAAAAGATTCCAATGAAACAACTCTATTATTTTCCTTTGCACTGTTATATTCACACTTGAGACTGATCTTATGCATGAAGTTGTTGTGCTTTTTCACTCAATTCTAGGACCCCACCCTTATTGTGACACTTATGAAAAATGATTGACGCTCTATGGTCATGTTTCTGTTCCTTTTAGTTTTTCCTGTCAACGGCGAGAACGCGCCTTTTTGCGTTCGAACACGCTGTGAATTGACACAATGTTTTTGCCTGCTGTAGTGTTTATCAGTGGAATGCGTGACATATGACACCACTATTATAAGGGATAAGGTCATGTGACCGGTGTGATTAGTCATTCTCTGCTGGCGCTTTAATTAGGTCTTCCTGCATTTCCAATGTAAGTACTTTGGGAATTGGCTCGGAGCACCCTTCACCTTGGCTTAAGGTGGAAAAAGCTCCTCTAATGTGGCAAACATTGTGCATTAGCACAACAAAACTGCTAGCCGATTTAAATCGTGGGTAACCTATATAGTCTTTTTTTAAAGGAATAGCTCATCCAATATGTAAATTCTGTCATCATTTACTTGCCTTCATCGTAGTGCTGGGCGGTATACCGGTTCATACCGAATACCGGTGTTTATTTTTGCAATACGTATGTCGCTTAAGCAACGTTCAGAACGCGACACTGTTACTCAGACGCAGGCAGTGCGCTGCATGAGACAGAAAAGTAATATATATATATATATAGCCAAAACAATTCTTTAGTGTAGATGCATGTTGATTTTATCAGACGATGCCACGATTATAAATGAGAGTGACTCCTGGTTAACATGTATTAAAAGGGTTCGTGTTTAGTCACTATTTAGTGTGGTATTTTTTGACAATATTCACTCATCATGACAGTAAAATAGAGCATTCTAAGTCAATATACTGCAGTATTTCCTCTCTCAATCAGTAGAAAATATTAACACCCGGTCATGCATGAAAAAAAAAAATACTATCATGTACCGTGAAACCGGTATATTTGTGATAAATACAGTGATATACATTTTTGGTCATACCGCCCAGCACTACTTCATCGTCATATTATATTGCAGAATGGACCTGGATACTTTCTTCAGAGTCTTGCTGCAAAGTGGAGGACGTGATGTTGTTACTCCGAGAACTGTGCTTTTCAATCCACATTGCTCAGTATGTTTTATTAAAAAGCAGCTGACTCATGCTTTGGCTTTCTTATCTGTCTTTTTTAGTCTGGCCGCTTTGATAAGTAGTCCTATCATAGATCTGATGAACATGAGATACAATGGCATTTTTCAGCCTTGTCCCCCATAACTTAATGGATGAAAATGAAAAGCATGGCATGAATTTTAAAACCGGAGTCTCTTTCAATGCAGAGACACCCTCCTGTTGAAAGACATTCTCTTATTTACATCACAGCCGGTATTCAGTATATAGGGTTACTGGTTAACAGACTGAACAGGCAAGACAGTCTCAGCTTTGGCAGAAGTCATGTATAATCCTTTGAAACTATGAAAGAAGGGCTTTAGCCTGGTTTTAATCAGTCAGTTACAGAAACTCTAAAGAAGACACGATTGCTTTAATCTCAAATAGAAACACTCTGTACAGTCTAGAACTACATTAAAGGGATAATTCACCCAAAAATGAAATTCTGCCATCATTTACTCACACTCATGTCGTTCCAAACCTCTTTGAGCAACCAAACAGTTGCCGGTAGCCACTGACTTCCGCAGTATTTTCCCCCTACGATGAAAGTCAATGGTTACCGGTTTTACTTCTTTAAAATATCTTCTTTTGTGTTCACTGTTCAGCAGAAGAAAGCAGTTCATACAGGTTTTGAACAACTTGAGGTTGAGTAAATTATGACAGAATTTTCATTTTTGGATGAACTCTCCCTGAACTGTGAAGTTTTTCTTTTGACCCTTTGGGATCTGTGTGATTTGTGGAGAGAAAATATCCTTAGTGTATTGTTATATAGGATATAAATATTGACTTTTGTCCGATGGAAAATTGATTATATGCAAAGGCTGAAATACTGAAAATACTCAAAAAGCACCATGAAAAAACCCATGTTTACATATTTTAAGCTGACATAGGTCCATTTAAAAGAGTATTTTTCTTCCAGGAAAATGGAGACTTGTTTTGTTTGAAGGGGAGTATGCACATTTCTGTCCAATCAAATTTTCTAAAATGACACCAGTAGATAACCAGAAGTTTTTGCCAGGATATGACACAAACTAGACTATTAGCTATTAAAACAGACAAGACCTTCTAACTAGGCTGTCCAACTAGGGCTGCAAAATGTTAATTTTTTATAAAGCTCTAGGTTTGGTGTGCTGAGCAGCTTGGCCAAAAATGTTGTGACTATATATATATATATATATATATATATATATCAATATTGACTATATAATAATTATAATAATAAATGTGTGGAGCAGCATTTACTTTGAACCAAGCTGCTCGGAGACTCTGTTAATGCATGTGTGTAAATGAACACAGTGCCGCGCTGCATCCTGAAACATGCAATGTAGATGTTTATCTCATTAAACTGAAGCCTTTGTGATTGGAAAATGAGATTTCAGTTTTATTTTGATTAATCATGCAGCCCTACATCCAATATTTTCAATAGGAAATATGTCAGCAGATCATAATAGAAAGCATGTTCACTTTACATCCAGCCTGGTATCAAATGCATATACTAATGATTGTGATAAGCTTGTTTGTAGTGCTATAGAGCCTTTTGTCTCTCTGTATCTCAAGAGACACTCACATAGACAAGCCCGCCCTACATCCAATATTTTCAATAGGAAATATGTCAGCAGATCATGATAGAAAGCATGTTCACTTTACATCCAGCCTGGTATCAAATGCATATACTAATGATTGTGATAAGCTTGTTTGTAGTGCTATAGAGCCTTTTGTCTCTCTGTATCTCAAGAAACACTCACATAGACAAGCCTGTCTATTCATTAGTAGTGGACTGACTGGCCTGTAAGGCAACACCACTGATATCAACATGATGCCACTCTGTCCCACGCTGGCTCTGTGGGAGTGTTTGTGATGAGACTCACTCCTGTCCCTCATTATAACAGGGCATTCAGCACATTTACAGGCAGTACAGTACCTACGCCCTTGTTTGTGTTGAAATATTTTGCACACTATTGAACACATATTAAGTTCACCCCGAGGCTGTTTGTCCCTTTTGTAACAGGAATTGCAGGCCTCAAACGTCATTATTTATTAATGGAGCACACTTTTTTTGGAGGAGGGAAGGCATTTTATGTGTATTCACTCAATATGATGCCTCATTACTGTTCCTAAGTATTCAGGATGAGTTTAGAGCAGGTCACCTGAGATCCTTATAGGGACAAAACCTAGTATGTTTAGCTTCA